CTGATACCTTTTCTATTTTCTTATGTGATTCCTCTTATTGTTGCTGTTGATGGGTATCATAATTTTCAGGATGATACTACATTTGAGAAACAAAGTGCCCTGTTTGCTCTTGCCGTTGCTGATATTGTACTCATTAACATGTGAGTCTCCATATTTTCCTGGCTCTTCTCCTGATAACTATTGCTGATGATATATATATTACATGGAAGCAGAAAGCTAATGGTCAGTGTTATTAGAAGATAGATTCAGTTTCAGATTTATCACCCCCTCTGGGTATTTGTACGTTTGACATCCTTTCTGAATCTTAACTCTTAAGCACTGTCTTAACAGTTAGGTTTTAGTGAACTTAGTAAAGATCTACCAACAGAACATACCAGGTTCGAGCCATATATATTATTTTTGTTAGATTATTAATGAAATAATGAACTCCGTAGGTGGTGCCATGACATCGGAAGGGAACAGGCTGCCAACAAACCATTACTGAAGACAGTTTTCCAGGTATCATGGTATTCTTACATATGGGACTTTATGTTCAATCAATGGCTTCGAATAACATGGTTTATATTACTTTTGTAGGTCATGCTGCGATTGTTTAGCCCTCGGAAAACAACTCTTCTTTTTGTCATACGTGATAAAACAAAGGTTTAGATTTTGCAATGGAATATGATACTTGATGGTGAAGTCATACTTCTTTGACTAATATATGCTATTTTTCTTAGACTCCAATGGAGCTTCTTGAGCCTGTTCTAAGAGAAGATATTCAGAAGGTAACACACACACACTCTTTCTCAGTTTCCTTTTCTTTAGTTTTTCCTCCTCTTTCATGTGAATACTGATTATGCTGCAGATATGGGATTTAGTTCGCAAGCCTGAAGCACACAAGAATACACCTCTGAGTGAATTCTTCAATGTAAGGAGATAGTCTTCCCACATAGATGATACTTCTATTTGATTAACGTTGTGTAACCAAAATTTTCATGAATATACCCGTCTGTCTCTTATAATTGGTTCGATATGTGCTTGTAGGTAGAGGTCGTTGCCTTATCCAGCTATGAAGATAAAGAAAAAGTGTTTAAGCAAGAGGTATTATTCTGATATGTAAAACACGTCTCTTTTGAGCATCAAAGTAAACATAAGACCGATTCCCTTGATTCATGCGAACTTGTAAATAGGTTGCTGAGTTGAGGCAGAGGTTTTTCCATTCCATTTCACCTGGGGGACTTGCAGGTGATAGACGTGGTGTAGTTCCTGCTTCAGGTTTTTCTTTCAGCTCCCAGGAGATTTGGAAAGTTATAAAAGAGAATAGAGATTTGGACCTTCCTGCTCACAAGGTCTTCTATCCACTAAAATCCATGTGGTTAAACCATGTATACTGGTCTTGTCACCTAATACTGTTTTGTTTATGCTTGCAAGGTAATGGTTGCCACTGTTCGATGTGAAGAGATAGCCGATGAGAAGCTACATCACTTGGCAACTGATGAGGTATGCTTCCATGGCCTCCTTACCTACTATAACTTCTCTTACTGATTTAATTGTTTTTGAGACATAACACGGTACACTATATTTAGAGTTGGTTGGAGTTGCAAAAAGCCGTTGAAGGTGGTCTGGTTCCTGGTTTCGGCAGGAAGCTTAGCTCTATCCTTGAAAAACACTTCTCAGAGTAAGCTCCTGTTATTTCAGTTCTTGAAGTATTTAATCCATAGCAAAGAGATTTAACTTAATCATGTTTCGCTTACTCCTTCTTAGATACGACGCAGAGGCAATATACTTTGATGAAGGAGTAAGAAAAGAAAAGCGTCTGCAGCTAAAATCCAAAGCTTTGGATGTAAGAGTTCCTCCGTATTTGGGTTTAGTATTGTCGTTGACTCAGGAACTGGCTACTTATGATATAATTATTGTCTCTTATTTTCAACTTTTCTCCAAATTTCTAGTTTGTGTACTCTGCTTATGCTACCATGTTGGGACATTTACGATCCAATGCACTAGAATCCTTTAAGATGCGTCTGGAACAGTCTTTGAATCAAGGAATAGGCTTCGCAAGTGCTGTGCGGGACGCGAAACAGTCTTGTCTGCTTGAATTTGACAAAGGATGTAAAGGTGAGAGTTCGTTCCTATTTCAGGTTTTGCTTTTAAAAATAGAGTCTCCTTGTGAGTTGTGAGAAACAAATTGTTTTGGCCAAAAACTTACACTAACATCTTGACGAGACTTGCCGCCTTTTATAAATTGTGTTCTTTTCCTGCAGATGCTGCGGTTAAACAAGCAACTTGGGATGCATCAAAAGTCAGAGAGAAGCTTTGTCGTGATATTGATTCCCACGCATCTTCTGCACAGACTGCCAGACTATCTGAATTAACTGCCAACTACGAGGTTCTGCTTTGGTTTTCTCTTCTTCTGATTTCTTAGCTGTCAAGTGCTCGTATTAATATCTGTTTTGCATCCTGGTGTTTTCCAGAAACGGCTGACTCAAGCACTGAGTGCACCTGTCGAGTCCTTGTTCGAAGCTGGTGGAAAAGAGACGTGGCCTTCCATAAGGACACTTCTCAAACGGGAGACTGAAGCAGCTGTTACAGATTTTCTGGATGTGGTTACTGGTTTTGAGCTAGATCACGCTACAATCGATGCTATGGTTCAGAATCTAAAGGACTATTCTCAGAGTTTAGTGGAGAAAAAGGCTAGAGAGGAGGCTGCCAAAATTTTGATCCGAATGAAAGATAGGTAAGAAAAAAAGATAAGAGTAGGTTCGTACTAATAACCTTTTTTTACTTTCTCGGCTTGATATCAATTATTCCAAACACATTTCAGGTTTTCAACAGTCTTCAGTCATGACAAAGACTCAATGCCACGGGTCTGGACTGGAAAAGAGGATATTAGAGCGATAACAAAAGATGCTCGCTCAGAGGTAACTTCTTAGAATTAATAGCGAGGGGCTAAGTTGATGTCATGAAACTTACTCTATATGTAAATATCATGTAGGCTTTAAGTCTTCTCTCTGTGATGGCTGCGATACGTTTGGATGAAAGACCAGACAAAATTGAGAGTACTCTTTTTTCTTCTCTCATGGATAATAAAACTGTATTCGATACATCTTCCCACAACAGAAGTTTGGGAGCTTCTACAGATTCACTTGCGTCTAGCTCCTGGGAAGAGGTAAACAGCCTGATACAGTGAACTCTAGTATAGTCTGGTTGATGTAAATGTCATTATTATTGAGGTATCACACTAAATGGAATATAGAATTGAACAAATTTGTCCACTTAACCAGAGAATTTTTTGCATTGTGGCAGATGAGATGGTAACAGTGATGCCGCTTCCGGTTGTAGTCAAATAGAATTTACCAATGATTGGTTTTGTGGATGCAGGTTCCTCCAAAAGACGTGCTATTGACGCCAGTACAGTGTAAGTCTTTATGGAGACAGTTCAAATCTGAGACCGAGTATACCGTTACGCAGGCTATCTCGGCACAGGTGATTTTGCAAGTCTGCCTCAGAATTTTTATGTGTTATATACATAATTAAATCATTGGAATATGTTGTCATTTCTATTCTACAGGAAGCCCACAAGCGAAATAACACTTGGCTTCCACCTGCTTGGGCGATCGTGTTGATGTTTGTCCTTGGTTTCAATGAATTAATGATGCTCTTGAAGTAAAGTTCACCGTCTTTGCACTCCTTTAGATTTTATTCCAGATTCTCCATAAAAGTGTGCTTAGATTCATTTGGCATGTTTCATTTTTGTGGAACAGGAACCCTTTGTACCTCTTAGGCATGTTTGTGGCGTTTTTACTCTTCAAAGCCTTGTGGGTGCAGCTTGACGTTCCTAGGGAGTTTCAACATGGCGCAGTAAGTTCTCATTACTTATATCCTCCAATTGTTTCAAATACAAACAATTATCGTTAACGGCATGTTTTCTGTATATCTTAGCTTGCCGGAGTGCTCTCCATCATATCAAAGTTTCTTCCAACTGTTATGAATCTTTTAAGAAAGCTCGCGGAAGAAGCTCAAGGAAAAACAACTCAAGGAGTACCAGAATACACAGCTTCCCAAAGCTACAGACACCAATCTCCCTCAAACTCCATCTCAAACACAATATCTGAATCCGTCTCATCAAACATATCATCATTGGCTGATGATGATGCAGAATCCTCGAGCTCTGCACAAGTTCAGAGACGAAACACCAGCAACGTACGAGAAACAGAGATCTCTGAAATGTAAACAAACTAGTAGTGCAAGATTTACCATAGAAGAGAGTATGTGTCGGTTTATAAATAGGGGATGTCTTGACTTGGAAACGGAATCATATCATATCGGTGTCATAATAAATAAAACCTTGAAGAAGTAACTCGAGTAATTTATTAGCTATATAACCAACTTTTGTTTCCTTGAAGCTCATTTTGTGAATTCTCTGGCATTCTTCTTTAGGCTAGACAAAGGAAAAATTACAGAGTTTTGGAATATAGATAGACATTAGTTTCAGTAGAAGCTCCTTGATGTCTGAAACGAACCAAAACAGTACATTACAAAGAATCAATATGTTACAGCAGCATGTAGCAATAGATAAAATATCATCAACCTGAAAACTTCACCAGAAATAAAACAAACGCTCAACGGTATCATCTGAGACGGCTTTCTTGATTCAAGACTTGATCTTGTGCCTAAGTTTTTGAATTGTCAAGTCTGCACCTCCAAACCCATCCATAACACCTTTGGCCGATGGAAACTCACCTCTTGCAGTTAAACTAGCAGAAAGAGATGGTAACGCAAGTGAGTAAATGAACAATGCTCCAGATAACAAAATTTCAAGAACAATAAGCAACAAAAGTATAAAAGGAACATCCAAATCAAACACCAAACCTGCTTCTCATGACTACACAAGGCATGCCTATCATCTTTGCAGCAGAAACTCCAGATTGACTACCAGCAACAAGTACACAGTTTCTAACAGGTAATCCAGTATACTCTGCAGCAGCACGCAACGCAACAACAATTTTCTCCAATCTAGAAAAAAAGTAAGGAAGATATCTTATCACTCTTCTTGAGCTATGGAATTGGACATGTTTTGTAGAGAAGAAGAGAAAGTTTCACCTCTCAGATGAGCTTGTGTCAATGTCCACACTTAGCTTTAGCAAGGATGCAACTTCTTCTGCTATCCTCTGTTTCTCAGCAGATGCTAGTCACAAAAAAAAGTTTAATAGGATGAGATTTTTACTGCAATTACCAGAGAAGATCTTAGATAAAGAGTACTTGCAAACTGTCTCCGAGCTCTATACCTGCTTTTTTTACTTCTTTCACTAGCTGTTCCTCTAGACTTGAAGAAACTCCTTTGCCAAGAACAAGTTGTCCATACATACTCTGTTCCACCTCACTGTCTCCTATAACCTTCACATTAGGAAGTCTTTCTTCGCCAAGCATCTCGACAATGGATCTGTTAAATACTCACATCAAAAAAGACAGAAGAACAATTAAGATAATAGAGAAAAACTCTATTATACGTATGACTGTGTTTATGCTAACGGATTGTTTTGTAAAGACAGGAGGATATGCAAAAGACACTAATTAACTTAACTAAGATTACAAAAAGATTTTTAACTGGGAGCTTAGCTACTTACAAGGCTACTTTGTCTCCACTCTTGAAGTAAGCTGTTACGATAGCAACGGGTACTTTCTCTGTGTATGCATTATCGATAAACCTACACCGCAAAGAGATTAAGCACAGGAGAAGTAAAGTCTCTAAATCTTTGTTTCAGTCTGAAAGAGGCATATCTAAAGAGGCTTACTCTTGGACTCCAGATCTCAGAGGTAAGCTTTTCGACATCAGAAACTCATCCATAGCATTTTTCTGCCAGCAAAACAAGTTGAAGTTAGCAAACCTTAACTTCAAAGAGAACAATACTAAGCTGAAAATAACGTCACGTTAAAAGTATGAGTGCAACCTTCTCTCGCAAAACACTTTTTACAAAAGTCCCTTTCTCATTGGTTGGCAAGGAGGAAGGCCATCCAATCTAAAAAGAGGTAGTAGATAAACAAGAGAGAAAAAAGAAGCATCAGATTTTCATAATCATAATCATAATCATGTATGTAGTGTGTAGCACTAAGCTAATAATGCAAAAATTTGATAACTACTCACCTGGTTGAAATACAAAACCAACATTTTCTCTTCATCAGCAGCACCTTTTCTGGAAATAATAAACTAAATTTAAGACAAGGAAATGCAATTGCAAAATGAACAAAAGGTCTGAATACAGCACAATTATCAGCTTAGTATATCAAATAGATCTTTTTAAACTCCCTAGAACCGGAATCAAATATACAGAAACTGACATGATTGGAAACAACTTGATTCTTCAAGGTCACATATAGATGTAACCAATTGCAACAAAAGAATCAAATCAAAAGCATTTCAAAAGTAAACTTGAAGAAACCACAAGCCAAGCGAAAAAAAACACAAGTCACTGGTTGTTACAATCTTAGATATTACTGACATACCTCAACAGGTCAGAATAAACTGGTTCAGGCCAATTAGCACAGTCAAGCCCAAGCTTTTTAAAAGCTGTAGGAACAACAAAATTAGGAAAAATAAATAAATAAATCAATAACAGACCACAAATCACACGGATTTTGAAGATACTCCAAAAAAAAAAGAAGAAATGAGTGATTGAAGAAAACGCACCTACATTAAATGCCTGGCGATTACTAGACCATGTATCAATCATTACCCTGAACATAAAACAAAACCGAATGTCACTACTTACCACTGAATCTCAGCATAAAGTTTGAAGCTTTTGATTCATCAGAACTTACCCATCAACCTCAAGTATCACAGCGAGTTCTTCAGATGGGTTTACATCTTCTCTGCTCGCTGATAAGCAACGAGCAGAGGATCTCTGTCTCTGCAGTCTCAGGCATTTTCCGAGAATCTGGGATCTTTCTGGGCTATCCGAGGAAACAGCCAAGGAACTTCGTCTTCTTCTTCCAGTGTCGTGTGAGGACAGGTTGCTCGTGAAAGGAGGAGACTTTGTGCAAGAAGAGAGGTGAAGATTGTTAAGGATCGGACAAGAAGCGATTTCCATGGCTACGTTCTGTCTGTGTGTGTTTCAGCTGATTCATACCAAACCAAAGGCTTCAATGATTTATTATTTTTATTCTTAGCATAAAATATCACTGATTATTATTTTATTGTATGATTCTTCTACTTTTTGGTGCGTTGATTTATCTCTTATCTTCTTCTCCTTTTGTTTGCAAGATCGAATTATATATTGTTCTCTCAATTTCACTTTACTAGTAATGGCTTTTATCCGTTTTAGTAATGGATCCTTGTAAAGTACACATCAAACATAACAAAACAATATTGTTTGTAACAGATGGAATAAGACAATGTGGAAAATGATACCGAAATTAAACGTCGGTCAGTGAGACATTTCAGATTGTGGAGTACATTAGGGTTATAAAAATACAAGACATTTAGAACTATAAAAACACAAGACAACACATAGAGAAAAGTATGTCGATAGATTCATTACATAACTCGTTTCAATAGCGTACAAATGTTTCTCTTTTACATGAGATAAAAAGTATATATTTATCAAAAAAAATGAGATAAAAAGTATATGGCAATAACAAAATCTCGGAGAAGCTATCAAAAGTGACCAGAACTTACACTTCATATGATCGGTATCTCAGGCAATAACTGACAACTCTTATCTTACCACAGTGGAGGAAACTTTATCATAATGGCTATATATTTAAGCAAATGAAAGTATAAAGTTTTCCAGCGGAAACAAACCATTTCCGAGTTTAAGATTAGGCGGAAAAAAAAGCAGGTGATATAATGCATACTTTAAGTTCCCTAGCATGGAGTACTACGTACTAGAAGAAAGCTTGATTAGCTTATCAACATCCTTTTAGGATGATGAGTTCTCGTTCAAGCCGTTGGATTGTGCAAAATGCCAAAAATAGATTATATAATTAAACATAAAATACACCGACCACGGTTCCAACGACTGAACCGACCCATGTAGTAGTTAAGTTCAAAGTACCAAAGGTCTTTAGAAAGACCATAAGATGAGATATCAAGAGTAGCAGTTTTAATAATCATTACCTCTCTCATGAATGGTTGTTCTCTTGTGAGCGTCTTCTCTGCTCTCTATCACCATGATGACTACTACCTCTGCTGGTCGTCCTGTGGCCTTCTTCACCGTTCTCACTATAGTAGCGTCTCTTTCCTTCTAACTGTTTTTCAGGAGGGCTACTTCCCATTTTTCTCTTTCTGTTATGCATTGGGGAGACATCGTTTAACATTTCACCTTCTTCTGCATTTTTGCCTCCTTTAACATCACGAATCTCACCATGTTCTGTACCCATGAGATCAGAGTTCTCGGCCTTTGAGCTGCTCTGTGCATTCCTTTGGTTCGCCTTTTCATCCTCAACAGCTAGTTCCACATCTTCCAATTCTCTTTCAATCAAATCATCCTCATCCATCACATCCTTTTCCCTCGTTCTTTCACCAAGCAACTTCTTAGCCTTTTCTCGTTTTGCCTTCACCTTATCCCGAAGTAATTTCAAGTCTTTTGGCGATTGGATGATTGGGGCATCCCCTGTTTCAACCTTTCTACATTTAGGAACAGCAGCGCCATCATCTTGAAGCTCCCCACTCTCTTTTTCTGAATTGTCCTTCCCAGGTTCATCAACTAAAGGTCTAGAGTCATGAGCTGGATGATTTTCATGATGCGAGCTATCTTTTGTTTCTCTCTTTATCTCCTCTTTGTGATCAACACTGACATTAGCTGCCTCACCACCCCCATTATCATTGTTCTGATTCAATACGCCTTTTGATGAACCTCCATGATTCTCAGAATTTGAATGTTCATGGGTTGAACGTTCTGATGTTTGCCTAGAACCAACATGATCATCGGTTGACGCTCCATTTCTGGAGCCTAGCCGACGCGCTGACGCTCCAGCTACGCTACTTTCAACTTCGCTTCCCTGAGATGCAGGGACACGGCTTTGCTCATAAAGTTCAAGCATTTGGTTGCTAACATCTGCAATACACAAAAGGCGATCACTCTTGAAATCATATCAAACAGGTAATGCAAGTCAAACAATGAAACAAGAGCAGTCATATCAATTTCATGATCTAAATACCCTCTAATTGTCGAGGTGTGACATCAAACTCTTGCCACCAAACCTTCTCTCCGTCTGATGGTAACTTCACTTTAAGAAACTTGGCAGCAAGAAAAATAGCACCAGCCGCAATGTGATGAGGCTTAAACTGCAGGCTGAGTGATGTCCGCAGACTGCAAGCCAGTTTTCATTGTATGAAGACGAAAAGGCAAATAGAATTAATGGATGTTTTAGAAGGAAATAATAGCATTTCAACGTACCCATCGTTAACAAAATTCCATGCAACTTGGGCAAGAGCATTCTGCGCAACCTTAAATTTCTTTATTGCTTCTACAAGAGGTTTATAAGGATGATTAACATTGAGGTCAAAGCCTAATGTAGAAAGTACTATTTTCTCTCCGTTTAATATAAGCTCTTTCTGTTGCTCATATACTTCCTGCAAAAAAAGTACCATACGTCGATACACATTGATATGCGGACAACAGAATATAATGAGTACCAAAGGAGCTTGAATCTACAAAATGAAGAAGCAATGACTACAGCATATAGTACAGCCTCAACGTCATATAAACATAAAATAAAAGGAAAAACTAGATAATTTGAAGGGAGGCAAGAGATCTGAGAAGGTCCATTAGTATGATGAATACCTTTTGCTTGATTTTCTGTGCAGCAGCAGGATCCTTCTTATTTATTATCTCATAAGATACACAAATAACTTCTTTCAAGGAACGTGGAGTTTCCTCAACCTTTCCAGCAAGGAACATGCATACGGTAGCAATTGTCTGTGAAACCAACATGATGAAATTGCTCAGTATCTAAGTATTTTTCCTGCTCTAGAAGTATAAATCAGCACTGACAATCAGACATCACATTCCTTGCGCATAATAACTATCAACCTAAATCTGTATCAAAGTCAAACCCAAACTATCTGTTCACAGAGAAGTCTGCTCTCTAGGAACTACCAAGACTACCATGGAAGGATACAATCATCTGAAATATCTTGAATTCCACACTAGCTACACAGCCTACACCACAACATATTGACTCGACTAACACAGACTACAGTCCATATGTTTTTATTAGTCAACTTGCCTCAGGTGCAAAACAATAAACTCACCCTTCTGTCATTCTTTGCATGTGATTGGCGAAAGAAGAATCGATGACAGAAGATTATCGCTGTAGCTATTGTAACCTGGGGACTGATCGATAAACTATATCAGCCACTTTCAATGAGAAGCAAGTAACTGAAAGTTTGAACAGGACAGAAATCATGACTGCCAGAAGTAAAATTCAGACAACACCATGTCAATGAAAGAAATATTGAGATAAAATAAACAATAGTTTTACAAGAAAGTAAAATCAGAAAATGGCAATCTTCCTTGAATTCATGCACTCAAAGACACGTTAAGATAAAACAAACACTAGTTTTACGACTTTCTGTTGGAAGCTTAAGGTTAGTACAAAGGAATGCTTAAAATCATCAGCAGCACAATGAAATTCCAATTATACTACACCTATATGTAAAGGGGTAAGGGGTAATTATATTATGTACACAATGTTGATGGGACTAAATGGAACAATCAAAATGCCAAGCAATACCAAGCAAATTCAATGAAAAGAAGTAGTAAAATGAGGTGAAGAAAAAAGAACTTACACTTTCAATCTCATGCCCAAGTCCTGGAGATAAGTGCAGTAGGATTTACGGAGGTAAGTTTCCTTCTTCAAGTCAATACCATCCAACCTTGAAGGCGAATTTTCTTCAATTTCTCTTCTTCCGAAATACCAGCGGGAACCCTCGTCTTGCTGCTTTTCTTGAGAGTTTCTGGAGTGAGATGAAACTCCACTCTCACTGTAGGAACCTTCCCCAGCTAGTACTCCAGCCATTATAGTTATCTTCTCAAATACAAAATACGCCAAACCTAGCAAAAGCAGATCATAAAGAAGTAGCTACTGTAAACTTTGGCTTTGGCTAGAGAAAATGCATCAACTTGAGAGACAGAAAGGTCAAATAACAAAGGAAAAGCAGATTATTCAGACAGATACACGGAAGAGACTAAAATGCATATGACATAACCACATAGTCTATAAGCAGATTCAAAGCTCATGCAGAACCATAAACCTTTTTGTGAATTGCAGATCAATGTAAACGAACTTCTCTAACCTCATAAGCCAACACAAATCTGGGAACTAGATTAGCCAAATCTCATCGCCAATTAGATACATTCGAGTAAAAATTCGAACTTTTTTGCTCAATTGGGGAGGGACAATCAGATCCAAAGGGGTTTGCAGAGAAATCAATCGAAAGGTTGAAAATTTCAATGGAAATTCAGTTGAAGGTGGGAAACGAAAGAGACCCAAAATCGATAGAAGAAGAAAATCAACGAAAATTTTCAATACAGTGATGGAGCGAAGGAAGGAAAGAGATGATAAATGGTTACCTTTTACCTGCGATGAAATAAGTTATCGAATTGCAGGAGGAGGAGGAGGAGAATAACGCGTGAACTGAACAAACCCTAAACCTAGAAGCCGCGAGATACAAGGAGGAGTAAGAGAATGGGATAGCGATGAAAATCAAATAGTCTGACCCAAAATCTAAGACTGATTCAATCTTTCCTTTTACAGAATAAACGAAATTAGTTATTGTTTTTCTTTCGTCGCAATAACAATAAGCTAATCGTTAAACTTACTTATTCACAAAAAAAAAAAATTATACTATTATTTGCGAATTGATTTTTTGCATTCGAGTTTCTAACGTTGAAAATTAAAGCGCTAATTAATGTCAAAAGTCTAGATTAGATCTTTTAATATATTAAAAATAAATTTTAATAATTATTGTTATCTAAAATAGTTTATATTTTGATATAAAATATTTATTAACCTTAATGAATAATTAAATTAGTTAAAATAGAATTAATTATAAATTAAAAACAAATTTCAGTGATTTGATAATTATTATTATATAAAAATGTTTACATTGTGCCATCCAAAAATAATACATCATAATTTTTTTAAAAATAAATAAATATATATTTATATTTATATTTATATATATATATAATTTTACGTATACATAAGTGCTTTCAAGTTTATTTTATGTAATACAAAGTATGTTTTCGTGAAAACTTTTATATATATACAGAATTTTTTATTTAATTTATTTATTAAACTATTTTGAACCTATGTGCAATAATTTATTTTCATAGTATTTAAGTTGATATTATATATATATATATATATATATATATATAACTATTAAACCCGCATATACGGACTTAACATTTAATTTAGAAAGTAAAATAAATAAATTCATAATTGTTGAATATTAAGGGAGAAAATTACATCAACACAAACTTTTTGATTTTCTAATAACAACACTAGGTAATAACTTGCGCGGAATGAGATTATTATTTTTGTTATTTTTAAGATAAAAATGATATTATGTTTATTTAGCATGAATATTGCTTCAGTTTTACGTTGTTTTTTTAATGTCCTATATAACTATCATTCTAAATCTATATTTATTTGGGTTTGTTTTGTTTAAATGTTTGATGTTTTAATTTTTTTCGAAGATAACCAAAAACTATTGTTAATTATTTGGTTTCGTTTTATATAAATTTTAGACATTTTTGATGTCGAACTAATAGTTTCCTATTATAATTTCTAAAGACATGTAAAATCAAATTAAATCTAAGTAATATTTGAAGAAAAAAGAAAATAAAATTATTAACATAAAACATTTCACTACAATTTGAGCGATACAGAAAAAAACATTAAAAAAATTCAACTTTAATAAGAATTAAAATTATCACTTATGGTGAATATTTAGTTATATAATCTCTCATATCAATGTGTACATGTATGTATATGTAAAAATATATCAATATGATGATAAATATATGAATATACTCTTAATTAAGATTTCAAACATTTTTGTTCAAAATAACACATGATAGTAAACTCTTTAATAAAATTAAACAAAAATAAAAAAAAACCTAGAAATTAATAACATTTTTCATATGAAGAAAATAAAATTATACCCTTAAACAATAAAAATAATATATATTACAAAGTGACATCTTCACTTGGTACATAAATTCTGTTTTTAATCGATTTTGTGATTTTTATTTCTTTTTAAAGCTTTTGTGATTTCTGTTTTTTTTCTACCAATTTGATTTGGTTTCTAATTCTTGGTCTGATATGAAAACTTTATAAAAATGTTAATATTTGACTAAACGAAAGATCCGACTTTACGTGTGGTGTTTTTCACCTCAGTTTCTTTAATTCATAATCAATCACCGTATTTGTTGTTATTGTGTACTGAAGCCTCAACCATAACCAACTTCGGCAAGGTACAAAACTTTCAATGTCTACAAATATTTTCATCGCAACATTTTAGTTGATGCGAATCTCAATGATTTTGCAATTTTTTTTACAATAAATATATTATTCATTAGTTTCACTTAGAAAGTTTTAATTTATTAATACAAAGGTTAAAAATGTAGAAAATGAATTAATTAAAAATAATATATAAACATATTAAATAATGAATTTAAAAAAATAGTGTGTGAACACATTAATTACCAAATGATTATGAAGTCGACACGTGTCAGTTATAGTGTGAACACATTTATTACAATGCTTCTCTTTTAATATATAAGAGATATGACAATTATAACATCACAGTCCCCAAGAACGTTTTCTAAAGAAACTCTTGTGCCACTTGAAAACAACCCTTCGCAACCAACATTTACTGGCATACGGCGAGTAGTGCTAATGTGAAGTCCTTTCTCTTTATCTTCTTTCTTTCTTTTATCCCTACATGCTCTTTTACGCGCGTGTCGATATATTGATGTCCTTGAATTTGATTTTCGGTGGTTTCACGAAGAATTCTCTCTTGGTCAACTATATATCTTGTGCAAAGATGAGGTTTGGAGGCGGAGGACCCGTGAATGGGTCGGTTTTTGAGCTATCTAATCATATTTGACATGACTTTCAGATGATGTCTCATCGAATAATTTGGACACTTCTTATATTCATTAAACTTTTGTTTAAGCTTCTTAAGTTTAGTTTTTGATGGGCACCAAACTTCTCTTTCAAAGTCGTCCATATGCCTTTTTCAGTATCGTAATCTTCAAACTCACACATGTGATCATCATTCATACAATTCAACATAGTAATGTGAGCTATGTTATTTTCTTTGGGACAGTATATGATTTTTAATCTGTATCATGCTGATTTGCTACACCATATGAAAGCTTTTCCATGAAATGGAAAAGAGTTTCTTTCACATCATACTATTTGAGAAAATACTGAATTTTGCAATATCAAATATCGTAATCATTACCATCAATTTTTCTCCTCAGTTATGCTCAACAATAATGTTCTTATAAGTAGACGACATACCACCTGGAACATCTCATAGACACTAATTTATTCCTTTACTGCATAATAAATCTTACAATGGATATAAATTAAACCATTAGTACTTTGATTTAAATATGAGATTGAGAGTTCTCTATATTCTCAATTATCACTCATATTAAAATATTATTACAGTAAAAATTAATTGATACATGCAAAATTTCTAAGTTCTATACATATTAGAACTCCCACTAAACTAGTTTTTATATACAACAGAACTCTTACTAGATCAATGTATTTTCTAACATGAATTATCATGTTCAAATTATGCACACAATATATCAAATAAAAGATAAATTTAATAGATACGCACGGACATAATAATTACGAAATTCTGATTTATAAGAAGAGAGATATGAGCATAATAAACAAGAATTTTCAGATAAATCCGAATGTGAAAAGCTTCATGTTACTCTTCATACCATTTTTACGGCAATTCAACCGAAAAATTCGACATTTTTATTTCTCAAAATACGTGATCATATTTTACCTATAATATATCAATAGATAGATAATTTCAATATCTATGCATGGACATAAAAATCATGTAACTACGATCTTCATTCAGAGGGATGTGCGCAAAAAAATATCTTTTTAGGTTTACTAACTATTTCTCTAAGTTCATGCAATAATTTCTAGAAGCATTCATACCATTATGATAAACACATGTGCACAGTTTCAATTCATTTCATTATGAGCTTATGGATATATTATTTTTAATTATTTTAAGCATTACTATTTTTTAATTCATCATGAATAAATTCGTGTAACACATATTACTTTTCATCCATGATCATTAAGAGTGTCAATATGCCAGAACCGAATGCAAATTCACTGACACCAATGTTAAAGATTTATACGTAGAAGTGTGTTCAAAAACATATCTTAGCCTAGTTTAGCCATGAATATGACTCGATATGATCAAGAATTGGATGTAAGAGTCGGGGAAGAAATCACAAGCAAAAAATCAAGCATTTAGTTGATTTCTTTTAATTTTTTTCTCTAAAATATTTTTATTTTCTCTCTAGATTTATTCTTGTTATAAATAGATCATCACAATTGATTTACTTCTCTTTAAAATATCTTATATATATATAGACATCTAATAGATACTATGTGAAGAGTTGCATATGTCCAAGGAAGAGATGTCTATGTTTAACGCCTATATTCCCTTTGTAGATTTCATCCTAAACTACCAATTAACCAAACTTCTTCGGCAGCACCCTTTTACATTGCCAGCTGCAGAAAAAAGATCATCAGGACTTGCACCAAAGATGCTTGAAGAGCGGTGGGGGAAGAGGGTGCTGTTCGTTTGCTCATCCCGGTGATCTATATGGGTGAAGATGCAAATCATTGTTCGTTTTGAACATTAAAATGCTACATCCAGATGGATCACCCAACTGCATTTATCAAAAAATTTCTCAAATTCTCACCCAAATGAGGGTGAGTCTTCGGAGAACATCTACGTGAGGGTGAGGCTTCACCAAAAAAAAAGACAAATTTTTTGGTAAAACCACATTTTCTGTTAAAACCGAAAACACACTTTTCCATCAAATTAAAAAACGTAATATTCTAGCAAAATCGTAAAAGTGAACTTTCTCACCAAAACCACCAAAACTTTATCCATAAAAACTCACTTTTCCGCCAAACCCATAAAAATAATTTTTCCACAAAAATCGTAAAATGAACTTTCCCTCCAAAATCGAAAAATGAAATTTTCCGCCAAAACCAGAAAAACACAATTTCCAGCCAAAATTTTAAAAATACACATTTCAAAAACGTAATTTCCCGCCAAAATTGAGAAATGCAAATTTCGTCAAAAGTGCAAAAATACAATTTTCATTCAAAACCGAAAAAATGCAATTTCCCGTCAAAATTAGAAAATGCACTTTCAAACCAAAGTCTGAAAATACACTTTTTCGCCAATAAACAAAAGTAGAACTGACAGTAAGATGCAGAGAGAAAGATGAGACACGACCAGATAAACAAATAAGAGGACGAGCAAAGAAGAGGACGCCAGCGAGAAAAGGCATAGCTTGTGACGGAAAGCTTAAGACTATAAGTTGTCTCCATTTTAGTGTCTGAGAGTTTGGTTGGGTCGGACTCGTTGTACGATATTGGCAGTTTTACTAAAACTTTATTGTAATAGCAAGCGGGAAGGTGTCACCATGAACCAGATAGTCTCTTTGAAATGCTTTTTAAAGTTTGTGTTATGCTAACAATTAGTTTTTATTATTCTTAGAAGGAAAGAAATAGACCGTCTTATTCATGGGAGGAAAGCATACAGCCATCTAGGAACTACACATTTTAATCTCTATATGATTGGGATTAACAGGAACCTTAAGCTGCCGGTCGTAAAGGGTCTGGTCTGAAGGTTGTTGAAACAGATGAAGAGAATAACACGTTCTCTTGAGAACTATGTTGGGGATCACCAAACTCGTTGGAACCAAACGAAGAAAGACGGTAGCTGCTTGTTTTTAGTCAGAAAATCAAACGACAAAATGCATGAAAAGAGTTTTTGTGCAACTTATGTTTTTTTGTGAAGCAATGTATGAAAGTAGGTTAATTTATAAAATTGATTAGAAATCTATATAGTGATTACAAATCTATATATCATTAATTGCAGATAAATTCAAGAGAGAAATGAAAAACAGAATGTGATTGATTAAGGAAGACCCAACAAACCAGATACTAGTAAATATCAGTAATGAAACATCATCTCAGCGGAGGCCATGATTGGTTGTGAAGAGTTGGACATTTGCCAAGGGTTCATCAGAAAATCAGGAATCTCTGGAAATTCAGGATTAAGATTTCCAACGACGTCTTCCACCACTTCGATGATTGAGTTTAATGAACGCAGCCTCTCGGTAAGCTCAACGAACTCAACCCTTAGAATGCTGTTCTGACTTTCGACGTCAATGTAATACTGGGTAACCACATCAAGTTTGTTTGCAATGGTAGAGTTTGATTGCACTAGACTAATGCTCTCTCTGTGTAGGTCAACCGATTCTTGGTTGGATCTCTCACCTCCTAGAGAAGCAGTATCTCTAATTCCTCCTGATAATGGAAAGTCCCCAAGATTCCCCTGTAGCATTTTCTTGACCTCCTTGACAATTATCCTGACGAATTTGCTTTCTTTACTGCAAAAAAACATACCAACAAAATTAAACATAGTCCTAGTTCAAAAAAAAACAAAATGAAACATAGTTCCAAAAAAAAAGAAAAAAAGAAACATAGTCCAAAAAAAAACATTTTCAGGAACTTTACATTGTCTTGTCGTAAATTGAGGTTTTGAAAAGAGACATTACCTTTTCTTGTCAAAGGTCAGACCAATCTTACGGGACACAGATGCTAAAGCTTCTTTCCATCTATCTGTTCTTGGTTTATCACACCGATATTCCCACTCTCGATCCCTGAACTGATCACCGAATGCTCCCCTAAGCTTTTTCACGGTGATTGGTTCCACTTTGAAAAAGATAGGAATGACCTGGAAAAGACAGTAATTAAATCTAATGTAAACAAATCTCATATTGGCTCGATCTATAGTTTAGGCAAACGTACCTTGAGCAGTCCTTGATCAGTACGTTCCTTGATTTTAACGAGCTCGTCTAAACACCATCTGGACTCCGTGTACCTCCTGGAGAATATGACTAATGCTATCTTCGACTCCTCGATCCTCGCGAAGAGATTGGTGAGATCTACGCCGATTCTCTCGTGTTTGTCAATGAAAACATTGATCCCATGTCTCTGGAGAGCTTCCACGAGATGGCTGATGAAACCGGACCGCAGCTCATCTCCTCGGAAATTGACAAACACTTGGTCGTTCAACTGGCGGCTGTAGGCATCCATTGAAGGAGCTCTTAGAGAGTCTGTGATGAGTCAAACAAATTAGAATATATAAGAGAGAGAGAGACAGAGGATAGAAGTGACTCGGATACCATTATGTCGACTGGTTATGCATGTGATACGACATCTAAAAAACATAAAGGCATTGTACTGGGTCAATAGAATAATATATCTGCGACTCTGCGTATAGGACAAGTCGGCGCAAAAAAACAGTAAACACAGAACATATTATTATTTAAAGGGAAAATCAATAAAGCCTTCGAATGTAGCTTCCTTCCACTCTCAGTTCAAGCTTTGAGGGTGTTTTTCTACTTTACTCCTGCAACATAGTCCCAAACTAACATTTAAACCATGAAAATCCTCAACCTATGAGTATCTCTAAGGTAAAACTTCATTTTTCTAAAATTACGTTTAACTCCAAATTTGGGTTTACTACTACTCTATTTTGTTTTGAATAATTAAGTAATAAACAAAAAATGTGAGTATTATATGAAAGTACAAAGACAATCACGTAAAGGAACAAACAAGAGATACCAAGAACACTTTCTTGTATATTAGAAATCTTTTAAATAATCTTCATAAATCTGTTTAATTAGATTTACACTCAAGCACACACGACTAGAGACGTTTGAGTGTAGCTTGTCTTTGAAAGGTTTCACGAGCTAACAAACGGTGAGTGACTTGTGAGTGTAGCTTGTCTTTGAAAGGTTTCACGACTATGAACCATAAGCTTGAAGGGTTCTATAAACCATACAAAATTTAAAATCAAAATCTTGGGGTTCTGTGATGAATATAGAGAGAAACTGGAAGATATGTTGTTTTTAGTTCATAAAAAAATGAGATAGAATGAGTATAAATTGATTTTAGGTGCATTAAGAGTTTCAAATTAGTTGTTCATGATGGTTAATTTATTGATCGCAATGGTAATATTATAAATACTTGAAGAAGATGAGGATGAAAGAGTAAAACACACATTTTCGAAAAATAATAATAATAATGGTATTTTGTTGAATAATCCAAAATTTTGGGTTTAATTGGAAAATAGAAAATTTCAAAAAAAAAAATCATGGGTTAGTTTTGTGTTTGACTTTGAATTCTGTGTCATATTTTCAAAAAGCCCAATTCATAATTGTTTAATATCAAGGGAGAAAATTACAAAAACAGACACTTTTTTCTTTCTAATAACAACATATAACAAATAAACTATCACAGTCCCCAAAATCGTTTTCTAAAGAAACCCTTGCGCCGCTTGAAGACAACCCTCCGCAACCAATATTTTCTGGCATACAGCGAGTAGTGCTAGTGCTGAAGTCCTTCCACTTGCTCATCTTTCTTACTTTTACCCCTTCATACTCCTTTACTCGTGTGTCGATGTACTGATGTCTTTGGATCTGATTTTTAGTGGTTTTCGGAAGGATCCTTTCTTGACCAACTATAGATCTGGAGTAAAAATGAGGTTTGGAGGTGGAGGACACATGAATGATCGGCTTTTTAGCTATTTAATCATGTTTGACATGACTTTCAGATGATGCCTCATCGAATAAATTTGGTGCTTCTTATATTAGTTAAAGTTTTGTCTAAGTCTCTTAAGTTTAGTTTTCGATGTGGCACCAAATTTCCCTTTCAAAGTCGTCCACATGACTTTTGCAGTATTGTAAACTCTAAGTCTAGATTAGTTAACCCAATGATATAAGTGTATATTTACCCTTTAATAAAAACTTATTTTAGTCATTTTATTCCTTGAGAGATATTTTTGTGAAAATAAACTTAAAAGAGCTATCCAAGAGAAATTCTCTAATCTTACAATGAGTTAAACCATTAATAATTTGATTTATATACGAGATCAAGAATTCACTATATTCTCGATCATTACCCCTATTAAATTATTATTAAAATAAATTAATTGATTCATGCAAAACTTTAAGTTCTATACATATTAAAACTCCCACTAAATTAGATTTTAGACACAACAGAACTCATACTAGATTAATGTATTTTTTAACATGAATTAACATGTTCAAATTATGCATACAATATATCAAATAATAAATTAATTTAATAGATATGCACAGACATAATAATTATGAAATTCTGATTTATAATAAGAGAGATATGAGCAGAATAAACATGAATTTTCAGATAAATCTGAACGTGACAAGCTTCACATTACTCTTCATATCATTTTTACTGCAATTTGACCAAAACATTAGATATTTATATCTCTCATAAATCGTGATAATATTTTACCTATAATATATATCACTAGATAGATAGTTTCAATATCTACGCATGGACATAAAAATATTTTCGGTTTACTAACTATTTTCTCTAAATTTATGCAATATATTCTAATTCTAAATGCAATAATTTCTATAAGAATTTACACCATTATGATAAAAACATGTGTACAGTTTCAATTCATTTCATTATGTGTTCATGGATACACCGTTTGTAATTATTTTAAGCAGTACTATGTTTTAATTCATCATGAATAAGTTTGTGTAACATATGTTACTTTTCATTCATGATTATTAAGAGTGTTAGTCTGCTAAAACCGAATGCAAATTTTCTGACGCCAATGTTAGAGATTTATGCATAGAAGTGTGTTCAAAAGCATACCTTAGCCCGGTTTAGCCATGTATATGGCTTGCTATGATCATGAATTGGATGCAAGAGTCAGGGGAAGAAATCACAGTTGAAAAATCAACCACTTGTCACTGCTCAAATGCCCTTTTAGTTGATTCTTTTAATTTTTTCTCTCTAAAACATTTTTACTTTTTTCTAAATTTATTCCTGTTATAAATAGATATCCCAGATTTCTTTTTGTTATAAATAGATCATCACTTGTTGCCAAAAAAAATAGATCATCACAGTTGATTCATAAATATATTGACATTCAATAGATACTATGTGAAGAGTGCATATGTCCAAGGAAGAGATGCCTATGTTCTAAGGCATATGTTCCATTATGTATTATGCTAACAATTAGTTTTTATTAGCCTTGGAAGGAAATAGATCGTCTTATTAGTGGGAGAAAAGCATACAGCATGTAGCAACTACACACATCACTCTCTATATGATTGGGATTAACAGGAACCTTAAGCTGCCGGTCGTTAAGGGTCTGGTCTGAAGGTTGTTGAAATAGATGAAGAGAATAACACGTTCTCTTCAGAACTATGTTGTGGATCACCAAACTCGTTGGAACTTAGAACCAAACAAAAAAAAACGGTAGCTGCTTGCTTATATAGTCAGAAAATCAAATGACAAAATGCATGAAAAAGACTTTTTTTGTGCAACTTTTTTTTTTGTTAACCAATGTATAGTATACTGCAGCTGAAAAGGATCGGAATAACTGATAGCAGGCTAATTTATAAAATTGATTAGAAATCTGTATAGTGATTACAAATCTATATGTATCACTAACAGCGGATAAATTGAAGGGAGGATGGAAGAAAAAAACAGAAATTGATTGATTATGGAAGACCCAACAACCCGCTAGTAAATATCAGTAATGAAACATCTCAGCAGAGGCCATGATTGGTTGTGAAGAGTAAGATATTTGCCAAGGGTTCATCAGAAAATCAGGAAACCTAGGAATCTTTCCAACAACTCCTTCCACCGTTTCTATGATAGAGTTTATTGATTCTAGCCTCTCGGCTAGCTCACCGAGCTGAGCCCTTAGAATGCGATTCTCACATTCGATGTCAGTGTAACGCTTGGAAACCAAAGCAACCTGGTTTGCAATGTTAGAGTTTGCTTGCACTAGAGCAATGCTCTCTCTGCATAGGTCAACCGTTTCTTGAGTTGATACTTGGCTGGATCCCTGCCCTCCTAGAGAAGAAGTATCTATTACTCTTTCTAAAAATGGAATGTCCCCAATATTCTCTTGTAGCATTTTCTTGACCTCCTTGACAACTATCCTGACAAATTTACTTTCGTTACTGCGAAAAAACAAACCAACAAAACAAAACATGGTCAGAAACTTTACCTTGTCTTGTCGTAAATTAAGGTTGAAATGACTTTTACCTTTTCTTGCCAAAGGTCAAACCAATCTTACAGGACACAGATGCTAAAGCTTCTTTCCATCTATCTGTTCTTGGTTTATCACATCCATATTCCCTCTCTCTGTCTCTAAACTGGTCACCGAATGCTCCCCTGAGCTGTTTCACGGTGATTGGTTCCACTTTGAAAAAGATGGGAATGACCTGGAAAAGACAGCATAACCAGTCAACAGATCTCATCTTGTCTCGATCTATAGTTTAGGCAAACGCACCTTGAGCAGTCCTTGATCTGTACGCTCCTTGATTTTAACGAGCTCATCTAAACACCATCTCGACTCCGTGTACCTCCTGGAGAATATGACCAGTGCGATGGTCGACTCCTCGATCCTCACGAAGAGGTTGGTGAGATCTTCACCGATTCTCTCGTGTTTGTCTATGAAAACGTTGATACCATTTCTTTGAAGAGCTTCCACTAGATGGCTGACGAAACCACACCTCAGCTCGTCTCCCCGGAAATTGACGAACACTTGGTGCTTTAACTGGCGGCTGTAGGCGTCCATCGAAGGAGCAAATTGTGATGAACGAGGAGTGAGAGCAGTATATATCCTTGACTCGTGACTATGATGAGTCAAACAAATTATTATAAAAGAGAGAGTAAAGAGATAGAAGTGACTCGGAAGGCCATTATGTCGAGTGTCGTCGACTACATGTGAATGTGATATGGTATCTAGAAAAACAAAAAAGGCATTGTACTGTGCCGGTAGAATAATATATCTACACAATGTATACGACAAGTCGGCGCAAAATAAAGAGTACAGACATAATAAACAAATAACATAGAATTATTTAAAGGGAACAAATCTATACAAACCTTTGAAAGGAGCTTCCACTTTCTATTCAAAGCTTTGAAGGTGTTTTCTGCTTTACTCCTACAACAAAGTCCCAAACTAACATTTTAACCATGAAAATCCTCAACCTAAGTGATTCCTTAACAGGGTGTAAAATATAAATAATAAAAAAACTCTTAGCCAAGGAAATTTATGTTAGTGAGTTTGTGAAGTAACCAAACCTGTACTTACTTATTTCTTTGAATAAAATTTCATGTTAATGACTTTTTTCTTTTTGAGAAAAACATGTTAATGAGTTCTGTCAATTATTCAGACCTGGGCTTAATGATATTTATTTCTTTGAATGAATTGGTGGTTTACGGTTCATAGTTTTTAGATATAAACTTCACAGCTTGCATCAAGATTAATCTAAAATAAAGATCTCCAAATATTTTAAAAAAATTTAGAGGAATTCTACTTTTTCTTCTATATATTGAAGAAAAAATAGCAACCTCTATATTAGAACTGGGTTGGAGTGATTTTGCCCCTAAATGTTATTATAGAGGCAAAAATAAAGACGGTTTGGAAATACTCTTATGCATTTAGAAAAAATAATTGGGGTCGAAATAAGGCCAATGATGGAGCTTTTACAACAAACAATCTTTTCTTTGACAGTGTATTCTCAACAAAAATTTGGAGAAACTTAACCTCAAGCTGCGTGGAAATAATAAGCTCAGAACATCCTGGGATCATCTTATCGAACTCATTCAGTATTCTCCTTTTGATCGTCTCACAATATTCATACTTGGGTATGTATTTGCGTCCACTTTGAATCACATTTGGAGTGAAGGTAATGGTAGAAAGAAGGCACATGACAACCATGCGCCTCACCAAGTTTGTGTACAAAAAATTGCCTCCTCTCAATTAAATCCCTGGGAGATCAAGCATTAGTCACATATGCGCGAATGTGGTTCCACCTACAAACCACGTAAAGCCAGGATACTATCTTAAATTTCCTTTCAATTTTTAATTTGAATATAATTTTACAATTATCTAGAAAAAAAAAAGAAAATGATTATTGATGGAATGGATATCAAAAAGGAAAATTCATACATATTTTATCAACTAATGGAGTTATTCATCTCTTTTTGCTGGCCTTTCCTAGCAAAAGAACTGAACCAGCACAAATGCAGATCACAAGACAAATAAGCCGTATAGGTTTCTCCAACCGCTCACATAAGTTGTTTGCACCATCACGTGCGCTTTTTTCATTACCAGATTTCTCTATATCTTTCGAAGATTCAAAAGACCTTGTCTCAACTCCTGTATTGATCTCATCAATATTTGAAGATTCCTCATCAATAACTTCCCCTCCTTCTGAGCTCCCCGGTGAGATGGATCCACCACTGTTATTCTTTGTAGTAGCATCTAAGGAAATTTCACCGTCACTTTTTGACGAAGCTGCAACAGTTTTATCTCCATACTTGATGTCTTTTACGTTTGTTGTAGCTTTGAAATATTGTACCTTCTCTGTGATCTCGCTGCCTATCTTTAGAGCCACCAAAGAGGCAGGGGTTTCTCCACTTAGGATCTGGAAATGACTTTCTTTGTTGTTGATGTCCCCTCGACGCTGCGTAGTTGAACCACACATCGTCTCACCATGTTCAGATCGTTTGTCAGTAAAAAGGGGATGAACAGGTTTAGTAGGTGCATAAATAAGAGTAAAGCCACACTTGACCACTTCACAGTTAGTGATCTGGTTTGTCCCGTCAGTCACTTCGAATTCAAAAGAAGCCTCCGTAGTAGCAAATACTGCTTCTACGTCCCATTTTTTGATGTGCAACAAACTGGTGTATCCAATAAAGACATGACCAGAAGTTTTAATGATGTCTCTTGGTCTATCGCAGCCATGTTCTGTCCACCCACCAAGAATGCAACTAAACTGAATGAAAGGCTCGTCTTTCTCCTTGAACTCGGTGGTGCATTTGACTAAGAGGCGGTTGTTCTCAGCTTGGTAGTCTTTAAATGACACAACGGCACAAAGAGCTATACCGGTAAGACCATCTTCATTCCAATGACTAGGCAGCTTTTGCTTCAACTCTGACCCAACCGTTCGGTGATTGAACCATACTGGTACTTGCCAACTAGGATAGCAGACTCCAATCAACACATCAAGTTTCGAACCCTGCCAATTTGATACCATAAGAGAATCAAACAGATGTTAGAAATAAATTCACTCGAAGGATACATATGATTACTAGGTCTAGGTGTTCGGGTTTTTATGGGTTCTCTCGTTTAGCATCCTAGGCCCCATTCGGATTTTATATATGTTCGGTACATGTTTGGTTAAGGAAAAATTCCATAAAAATGTCCAGACTAAGTTTTGTTTTGTTTTTAAAGTTGATTTATTATGATATTACAACTATGAGAAATATTATAGACGATTCGACAACATAGATATAGTACCTCCTTATAAATATTTACGCCTAACTGTATCAATCTGAGCCGTCCTATGAAGATCCACTCCTGACTAAGTTTTGTTAAGCTTTTAATTATCTAAACTTTTTAATACTCAGTTTAATATTGAGACTAATTATTTTGTTTATTTTAATATACTTCTTTTTGATCATATTTGAGAATATTAAAATAAGCACAGTTTTAAAAATAAGTATATTTAAATGAGAAAATACTTGGCTTGAATATTAAAATAAGTAAAAAATTAATTGTGGGTATTAAAAGATTAACCTAATTTAGTTGGAGTATTTTTATAGAATGTATCCATTGGTAAATAAAATTTTGGGTTTCGGAATATAACACCTTTTCTTAGTGGGCTAGTGCTGTTTTCGGTACACTTCATCTATTCCACAAAGTTCATAGTAATCATATAGAGTTTAAGAGTGAATGATGTATAATACCTTTTCTTGGTGGGCTAGTGCATCTGACATTGATTGAATCTTCCTCCTAACATAAGATACGATACCATTCTTGGAAACTTGATCAAGTTTGGCACAGTTAGTGAAAGTAAACGTGGAGTGTGGATGCTCTGTTTCTGCTAAGATAAAAGCTAACGGGCTCCCAATATTTTCAAGTGAAATGCAGCCGTGTGCGTCTAGCTAGTGAAGACTCGGTGGAATCACTGGAAGAGATATGAGCTGCTCGCAGTACTTGAGGTCAAGCCATTTGAGATTGTAGAGATATCTGATGTTTTCTGGCAAGCTTCTGAAGTTGTTTCTGCTCAAACATAAACGTTGAACTGATGATAATGTGTAGATATCATGCGGCCATTCACGCAAATCGCAGTGTGAACAAGTAGAAAGGTCGCCTTGATTAACATCGAAGCGGTTCAAGAGACTAGGCATCTCCTTTATGGCTGTTCCATCAAGTAGCAAAGTCTTTAAATGCTTCATGTTCTTTTTTATCTTTGGAAAGGTCGCAAGGCTTTTACAACCTGAGAGTACTAGCTTTTGAAGAGCTTTTAGATTCTCGATAGAATCTGGGAGACACGCCAATCTTTTGCAGTCTTTTAATATCAACAAGACTAGTTTCTGGAGATTCCCAATCGTTGGAGGAAGCTTCTTTATCGCGGTGCCATCTAAGTACAACTCTTCCAGATTCTCTGGAGCTAGTTTGAACTTCTCAAGACTTGTACAGCCGCTGAGGATGAGTGTTTTCAGAGAGATCAAGTTCATTTGTGGAAGAGACTCGAGGCTCGTGCATCCTCTGAGGTTCAAGAATATGAGACTTTTCATGTTTTGTAGCTCTTCATGAACCGTCTTCAGTTCGGTGCAACCTTCAAGGTTTATACTTTGAAGCTTTGGAGCCTGTGATAAGCCCGACAACGTACGCAGCTTACTTGAGTTGTTCAGATCGAGCCATTGTAATTTTGGTGCGTTCTGTTGCCGATATAAAGACAAAGAAAAAGAAACACTTGTTAATGCAACGTAACAAATATTGGATACAAAATATTATTTATACACAGTAAGAATTCTATAAACAAATAATTATTAATTAATTTAATTGATTTAAAGATAATTTACGGTTTTTAAGTCATATATATATATATATATATATTTCACAATATTAAATATTCAATATTTTTTTTTTTTTTGGTTTTCATCTGCTTTATTATATTATTAAGTTTTTAGTGTATATGTATTATCACTTTTAGATGTAATTCTACAAAAATAGCAAAAAATATTTTAAAATAAGAAAATAAGAGATGAACTTTGTTTCGAAGAAAATAAATCATAGAATATTTTATCTACTTTATATAAACTTTATATATTCTTTTTACTCAACGTGTTCTTACTCAGCTACAAACCTTTATATAGGCATTATTAGTTATGATATTAGTAGAACCATATATTTTTCATACAGTTTTCTAAAATTTATTAGTTTATATTTGATCCAATTGTGTTATATTTTGATCTGTACCTACTGAGAATTAAAAAATTATTTTATCGTGTATAAGAATTTACTTAATACCAATTTATAAAGTTTTTAATTTATATATATATAATACCTTCTCTCCATCCCAAACTTGCTCAATACGACTGTAAGGCAGGTTGAGGTCTATAAGATTCTTAGGGTTAAAATCTTCTGGTAACTTCTTCAGCGGAAACTTCAGCCAGTGAAGATACCGAATCTCCTCCAACTGGAACTTGAGTCCGTCGCGGAAGTACAAGTTGCATGTAGCTTCGCCTTCTTTAGGAAAACTTGAGTTGAAAATTTTCAAATATTTGAGATCTCCCATATATTTGAATGTGTCACTACTTAGACTCATTTTCCTTGGTACTTCAGACATATCAAGAAAAATCCCTCGGACCTTAGTTGCTTTCTGCAAAGTCACATAACAAGTTAAAATGAATAATCAAGAAAATAACTTCAAAATGTGTAACGAAATTTATTATCACTCACTGCTTTGTTTAGGAGAATAGCAATGATCTCGCCATGGTTAAACAACCTACGCCCACTAGCTAAATTTTCAGTGGATGATTGTGACTCTAGTCCCATTGCGAATGTGTACATCAGATCATTCACCTCTAGTCGACCGCCACAAATGTTTATCAAGAACTTGTCCGCGAGATGTCTTATTTCACTCATTGAAGAATCCAGCAAACAGCTCACATGATACTCATCTTCAGACCTGAAGAAACATGCCACATCAAGGAACAATTCCTTTTGGTGTTTGCTCAGATCATCATAAGAACTTCTCAACACATTATGAATTATGTTGCTAATCGGGCTTTTCGCAAGCTCCCCAAGCTTTGATTCCCAATACGCCTCGTCCTTTGTAAGAAGCTCACCACCAAGTACTTTAAGAGCTAATGGATGTCCCCTAGAGTAATCCACAAACTCTCTTGCAAGCCTCATGAACCGTGGCTCGCAAGAACCGGTGGTGAATGCGTGTTTTTCAAAGTATTTAAACCCATCTTCATCGCTCAGGCCCGGCACTAGATAAGTATCATCCACCATTCCTGTGATTACGGACTTGCTGTTCGTTGTGATGACAACTCTGCTTCCTTCTCTTAACCATTTTCGTCCACCAAGAATCATATCTATCTGACTCTTTTTACTCACATCGTCAAGAACAATTAATACTTTGCTTTCTCTTAGCTCATCTTTTAAAGATTCAAGTGTATACTCAGCATATCTTATTTCCTTTCCATCATGTTTGCTCCTCATTAAACCATATAGGAGGTCTTCCTCCAACCTGTGGATTCCAAGAGATCTTGCCTTGGCGCGGATATCATCTAGAAACATGGTATGCAAGAACATGTATCCCCAATCTTCCATCAATTTCTTGGCAAGAGTGGTTTTACCTATTCCAGGCATCCCAACAACTCCAATAACTCGAGTGACCTCGTCTGATTCAAAATCCAACTTCTCTTCCAACTGCTGTAGGCGTTTTTTGATCCCAAAGAAGGGAGGCACGTTTGAGCAAGAAGAACTTATAGGCATACCTCCTACTAAGTTCCCTTTGGACAATCCAGTAAATTTTTCTATTTGATTCTTAGTTCCTTGATCCGTTGAGATTTTGTCTAGCCTTTTCTTTACGTTACGCACAATTTCATTGATCACCTGGACCTCATCGCTACAAAATAGGTGACAAATACCAAAGTCAAGCCAATAATTCCATTAAATTTGCAGTAATGCAAAGAAAGGCTTCTTAGGTGAGAAGCAGCAAACCATACTCTTTCTGTTTTAATTAGTTACTAGATTTGGACCCACGTTTTAAAAGCACGGGTATATTTTTACCATTTTGATAAAATTTATTTAAATTAATTATTCAAACACAAAATTTTAAAATTGTTTTATTAATATTTAAAAAAGTTCTATTATAATGTTTGATTTTCACGTAATGTTTCCATATCCGACCCAGATCCATAGTTGAACCGGTACATCCAGCAATTTTTATATAATCCAGTTAAGATTTAATTAAAAATTTACTAATTAAAAATTTAAGCCAACCCGGTATATATCTTAAAACCCGCTATTAATCTGTATTATAATATCCGTTGATCCGTTAAATAGCCCCATAAAAACTGATAATATATTTTTAAAAATTTGTTAAATAATTCATATTTTTAATATTAAAGAAAATTAATTTTTTGTAATTTCTTTAGTAAAAACTTTCTTGTCATTTGAAAAAATGAAACAATGGCAATAGAAAAAAAAAACATAATTTATGCATATAACAATATTAGTTTCTTTTCGTTATTAATAACCTATGATAAGTTTACATTTTAACTCATTTTATATCTAAAATTTAGTTTTTAAAACAAATTGAATTGACATATCGTTATTATGGATAAAATGAAACAGTAAATAATAATTTATAATTTTTGATCGCTAAATAATATGATGCACGGAAATATGATATTAAAATTAAATAAAAAATCATAATTTTCATAAAAGAAAATTATTATTAATCACAAAAATAGGAAATATTTTCAGTTACCATAAATATATGAGATATTAAATTGTTTGATTGATTAAGATTCTAAAAATAATAGTGGTATTATCTTATAAATATGATAAAAATCTAGGAGTATAATTCAAAATTTTAATAATAGGATCCTGCTTTAATAGTATAGACTAGATTTTGACCCGCGCTTAAAAGCGTGGAAATTTTTTATGGGTTTTAGTTTTTAAGTTTCTATTTTTGATTTTCAGCTTTTGGTTTGGCTTTTTAATTTTTAGATCAGCTGAGTTAGTTTGAACTGATATTACCAACAAACAAATCCCAAATAATCGAACATCTAATTTAAAACTGAAAAGATGACAAAAGCTTTTTAAAAAAATTGCAATAGTTTATTTTATAAATAAACAAAAACAAAAAATATATCCTGCGTTTTCAACTTTTGGTTTTCGATTTTAGTTTTTAGATTTAGCTTTTGGTTTTGCTTTACATATTTTTTTAAATCAGTAAATTATTTAAGAAAAATAAAAAAATATATTATTTAAAAGTTACCATTGAAATTTATCAACACATGGATTGTTATTTAAAATAAAAAATACATTATCATGTTTTTAAGTACATGATTTAAATAAATGATTAAGAATAGACAATTTTGTTTTGTTAAAAATCTTAAATACCTTTTGAGCCTGAAAAAATAATTGTTTTTTTATCCATTAAGGTGGAAAGTTTATTCAATATTTTTTGGAGTTTTTCATTAATATTAAGCCCAAAAACCAAATCATATAATTTATTCTAAAAACAAAGTAAGCCCAAGACTATATACCATAAATAACCACCAGTTTAATTTAAGTAATACGGTTCGGTTAACTATATGATTTGTATTATTTGTAACACTCTAGAAAATGTCCAAATTTAAATGACAACTTGTATCAGTAGATAAAAAGAATGACTCTATTTTAATAGAATAGATACTAGATTCATATTCGCATTTTCAAAGCAAGAGATTAATTTTAGTTAAACCTCTTTTTAGTTAATGTTTGTATATGTAAGTTAGTTTGGATTTTTGCTATAATCCACACTTAGCTTCGTTTTAGTTAAGATTATTGGGTTTTACGAATATAATAGGCTTACTTTTTTTTGTTCTTATCTATCTATCTTATTAAAACATAAGTACAAAAAAGAAATAACCATAACATTTACCACTTATTTACAAATCTATGCCACCGAAGTAATAAACAATCGTATCTTTAAAAAATCCTTGTAATTTCATAATTTAATAAATACATTTGTAAATTGAATGCAAACAAACTCATAACAAATCGTAAATTTAATTAATGTACCATAATTTACAATCCATATATATATAGGATGTTCTAAATATGTGTAATTAGTAAGTATCAAACTATTAAAAGATCTCACCTAATAACTTTTAATGGATGAAATAATAATAACTTGTTTATTTAGGATTATTAAAGAATAATTATTATATCCATTTTAAGATATATACAAATAATAAAAATACAATTCAAACTTAAAATAATTGTAAAATGGATTTTTTATTCATATTGAAAATTAATTTTCATATTCACAAAACAGTGAATATATTTGATATTCCAAAATAAATTTCAATTTATTTTAGAACATTCTTACATGTAAAATCACATTTTATAAATATTATTTCTCACCTATTTTAAAAGTATTTGAATTAGAAAAACTTTTCATAATAGGGGTCAATATTGTTTTTAATATCTAATTTTATTTCAGTGGGAAAAATAATTAAAACAACCCATGAAAAAAAATTTAAACATAAATTATATACAAATTTTTAAAATTTGTAAACTATGTACAAAAACTAAAATTTTCATATAAATAAATTTTATGTATTAAAAATGTTTATGTATTCTTTGAAGGATATTTGTTAGTGACTATCTCATTTGTGAATTTAGTACAATATTCTCTATTTTATGTTGATTTAGTTTTGAGTTTTTGGGGTTATGTCAAATACACTTATATAAACCCACTATTAATTTAGATATAATTGATTTAATAATTTAATAAACTTATTTTTTATATTTTATAGCATACTAACTACATAGTTCAAATTTATTTTTGATTTAAATTCAGTAAACTGCGTGTTATCGTCTATATGAAAAGTAATAACAAATGTTTAAATATCATATATCATTTTACAAACTATCAACATGTACAAAAATCTAAGAACTAAATCAAAAACTCATATATTATATAAAGATTTTTGGCATTTAAAAATACTATGGTAAAAAATTTATCCATCTACCAAGTTTAGAACATAATATTTTCATTATTTATTGGTAATAGCTAAAACGTAAAAGCCATATGAAAATAATCAATATATATATATATATAATATAAGTTATTCTGTAAATATATTATTTTATGAAATTTTCCATAAATAATAATCCAACAGAAATCTAATACAATAAATATATGAATGATAAATGTTGATGATATAGTTGAGGGTTCAATAAAGATAGAAAATAGAATATATAATATTTTTATGTTTGTAAATGTGTATTATAAGATTATTTATTAGAGTTAATGTTATATATTACTATTTATATAAAATAAGTATTTATTTATTAAAGAAAAGTAAATCAAACACATGCGAAGATGTGCGTATCAAACTCTAGTAAAGTATTATAATACTTAGTGGTTAGAAGTTAACTAAATGATTAATGCACAAAATGAGTTTTTGTTCATGATGTAATTATTATTTCTCTTGACAGTTAAAACTTATTTAGAAAGATAATAGTTAGAATTTTATTGATCTGTTTACTGATCCAATGTAATTAACATTAATTTTAATATATTAACAAAAATTCGGATTTAAATAACTACATTCATTAAATTTTAAAAACTATAAGATTTTTATAACAGAAGAAAATTATTTAAAAATAAAAATATATTGTAAAATATTATAATTAAATTGGTTAGAAATAGATTTGACATTATTGTATTTAAAAAAATTCTAAAGATCAAATATATCCAAATCATATATAGTAAGATATAATTTTTCTACAATTTCCATGTTATTTTTATACAATGTCCATGTTGTAGTAAGATATAAGTTTTATTAGCTAAATACACCAGTCGTTTTTTATAACAAATACTATATTTATATTTGTTTAATAACAATAATAATTAGTTTATATTTTACTTTTAACTTTAAATATATAATTTAATTAATTTTGTTTAGCTTTTTTAAACAAATAGGAAAAACACAGTTATTTATATAGGTATTGTATTTTTTTCAAATTATTTTCATAGTGAATTTTAGCAGTTTTCCTAAGTTTTATCACCACATTCTTTTCAAATTATTTTCATAATGAATTTTAGCTGCTCCAAAAAAACTACATGGTATATTTTTTTTTTTTTTTTTTTTGATCAAAAACTACATGGTATATATACTATAAATTTTATATTGTGTCTAAAAGTAAATATAAAATTAATATTAATGTATCATAATTTTCTAACAATAACTAATAAAATTATTTAATTCTTTGTATATTTATAAAATTTTATTATTTCAAAACTGTATATTCATATTTATAAAAAAAAAATATTATAATAAGATTGTTTTAATTGTACATTATATGAATATCTTTTTTTGGTCAAATATGAATATCTTTTAAATATTTTCTTTTTAAAATATTTAAATATTTAGTAAATTAATTGAATAACTAAGTTGTTCTATGACATATTAGAGTGTATACTAAATATAATGATCCAAATGTGGTGATATCACACAATATGCCAAAGTTAAGTTTAAGTTGTTAGATGACATGTTAGAATTGTGTCTCTACTTTAATAGTATTGATTAATATAAACGGATAAATGTGAATATCTTAATACCATTTCCAATGAAGCACTTTTATCTAAAAAAATACATAATTACTTTATAATAGAGTTAGTTTTTATTTCAATATTATTCTATTATAATGTGGGAAATAGAGGGATACATAAAATAAAAATATATATAAATTACTCTATTTATGGTTAA